ATATTTCACAACCCTTCTCCCCAACAATCTAAACACATACCTTTAAAACCAGCAATTAATAGCGTATCACTGGCTATGTGATAAGAAGGATATGCACAGTCAGCAGTATATTCCCAGCAAACTAGATTCTTTAGAAACCCATTTCTATTGCCTAGGGTGATGGCGTAGCTGCCAACAACAGATGTCAAAATACTTGAGGCTGAGTTTACACACACAGAAGACAGACACACACTAGTTACTCAGGCTGGTAGCATCATTGTATTTATTTAAAAAAAAAAAGTCACAACATTCTCTTAATGAAAAGCAAACTGGAATTTGTGCTTGAACTCCTACTCCAAACATATCAAAATAAGCACAGTGAAAGACAACCTTAGTCTGGAAACAAGTGTAAATTAAGGTTTATATTGCCATACCAACAGCTGAGTTAAAATAGAAAAAATAAAAACACAAGTCCACAAGCATCGTATTCTTCCTTCAGAGATCAAGAGGTTGTGAACAAAAGCCTGACCTCCATTATGTTTTCTTCAGTTGGTTAGAACGAATGTGAACTGCTACTGCAGAAACCAAGCTAGAGGGATGAGACAGCCTTGAATTTCCCTCTTACTGACTTCTCATTCTTTTTGAATAAAAGAGAAGTGAGAAACATTGATTAGACAAATGCACAACTGGACTATTCTGATAAAAATGTGTTGTGGCAATTCAGTTACCTGAGAAGGACAGATACCAGTATTGCAGAAATCTTTTTTAAGTTCTCAAATGACATTAAAATGACTCAGTACACTTTGAAATATGTGATCCCAGTGACTAGACAGATCTAGGAATACACATTTCTGTATTAAAAGTGATAAACATAAGCAGGAAAATACCCAAAACAATTAAAAGGCACTTTCAGCTGGCACCTGTTTAGTTATGAGTCAGATAGAACATTATAGCATTCCAAGCAGTATAACGGTACACACTCTTAAATACATACACCTGACCATATAAAATAGTCAATTTGCAATGCCTGCATAGTTAACAGGAAGAAATCCACATATTTAATGTAAACAGTAAAGTTTCTAGTAAAGACAGTTTAATTTTAGACATTATATGTTTAACATCATTGCATGCAACACTGTCTAAAAATTTTATGGCACCTCTGTGTATTACCAAGCAATAAACAGTCATGATAAGATACTTGGAGAGAAATTCTCAAGTCATTGAGTCTAGTGCTGCATGCAAAATTGCAAACATCCTCAGTAATTGCACACCTGGATAAGCCAGATGTTTGTATATAAAAGGCAACTTTATTCATATACCCGTAGTCCTCTACACAAAGATTTGACCCTCAAGTTTTAAAAGGCACAGAAGCTGAGGGGCATGCTAACTGCAGCACTTAATGAGATCTATTAATTACCCGATTTCAAGAGGTGCCTTTCAAAGGCAGCTAGACAACTGAAGCATTAAGTCCCACTAGAAATCAAGGGCTGTCCCCAACATCATTGTTACATTCAGACTGATTAAAAAAAACAAATCTAAACTTTCCTTATGGATTCATTCTCATTCTTTGCATTTCAGAGAAATTGCCTGCTGGAAACAATCAGTTTTCTTTACCACTTTTTTTAATCCTTATTAAATAACCAAGCCACTCTAACAGGTGAAGTGAAAAGCATTAGTAAACAGATGGATGACGACATCATTATTTCTTCATTGAATCCTTACTCTTACTTGAGCTGAAAGTGCAAGATACTTGTAAAATGTGAATGCTACAGGCATCTGAACAGAAGCACAAATTGGTTTCAACTTTTGAAACTGCTTTTGTAAAAAAGCAAAGAAAATACAGTCTTTGGTGTAGGCTCACACAGTGCTATCCAAGTATAACAACATTGGTTGGAAATTACAGAAAACCTGTAACTTTAATGCTGAACTCAAGAGCCCAAGCTCAAGTATTCACACTGATTTACACACAAGGAGCTCTTCCAGGCAGCATACCTGGTCTTTCACTACGCTTACATAGCCACGAGCATGCTAAGTACAATGAATTTTCAGGCAGCAAGTGGTGGAAGTGACAGCATCTCCTCCTTTGCTCGGACATTAGCAGATTGCTCAGACATCTGTACAACCTGGAGCTGCCTTAAGATGCTGACGTAGCCTCTGCCTTCAAAGAGCCACCAACCAACATTCAGGAACTAATGACTTATGAGAGGAGGAAATACTAGACAAAACACTCTCCCCTCTCTATTAATGACCACAGTTTTAAGCTGGCAGTTAGGAATTCATTTCCCTGATGCGTTTATAACAAAAAGCAGAAGTGTACCTTTGCCACCTGTTTCACAAACAGAAGTGCATGCAGTCCTGGAGTGTCTCAACTGGTGTTGAATTTGCTAGATGTTCACTCTAAAACTGAAAGCTATCAACAGCTGAAGTTTAACTAAAAAAACAACCAACACACAAAACATCAAAACATATTTAAAAATAACAGTCCTCTTCAGGTTTTTTTTTTTCTTAGACCCCTGTCCTTATACCTGTATTTCCACAGGAAACTGCTGTACCTGGCATAAAATTACCCCACTAAACCATCCTGTTCCTTATTTTCCAGCAAGGACATGTTTGTATCTCCATTATTCTTTTCATTCATATCTTCATTGTCCTCTGATTGCCCTGATTTCTGATGAGCAAATGTGTAAGTGTCATGGTCTGTGTCTGTCAGAGTTGGAAGTTCCTCAGTGTTAGAAGAGCATTTAATGTCTTTCCTGAAGGAGAGTGGAGGTGGAGAAGGTGGCAAGCTACCAATGGGTCCATCAAAAGGCCGGTACACATCAACTTCTGGAGTGACTGAGCCATTGGATTCCTTCAGCAAGTGCCCATAGACCATAGCATCATCAATAACGGCATAGACATGAGACTCGTTGTTTTTCCTCCCTTTTGTGAATAAGCCTTGTTTTCCAGGCACCTGGGTGTTCACGTTAGCATTGTACACTCCCACCATGGGATTCTGGCTTTTCTTCTTCCTGTTACAGAGTTGAATTTGTTAACAGGTCAGAAACAACATATGGCTGGTGCATTTGAACTCAATAACAACAGCTTCTGTTTACCCATCCCAGCCAGGCAGTGTCAGGCAGTCTACTTGGATTGAAGCCTTTACTTGCAATCTTAGGAAAGATAACTCTGGAGTCTAGACATGCCTTTTTAAGAGAGCAGAAAATCCCTTCATGCTATCTGGTTACCTACTGCTGCTTTGCTGACCCTGAAGTTTGCAAGATGAACTCCAGTGGCCTCCCAAACATGGGAGACCTGACTGTGCAGTGTACTGAGTCTCCCAACATCCACAGACATTACTAGGACCTAGAGGCCATCAGATCCTCACAAAACAAGGCTGAGTGTTACTGAAGACAAGTAAGATAGCGGGTCCTCTATGAAAAATCAAATGAACTTTTCTCAGTTGCACTTTCTGAAGCAACTGTTCCCAAAGCGGAAAGACCAAAGGCTGAAGATTTTTAAGTGTGTATCTGTGTCTTTCCTGTGTGGCAGAAAAATGTGCTCAAATTCATTCCAGCTTTACAGAACCCAATCGCCCTGTCAGCACTGAGCACACATGTATTGGAAACACCAAGCTATCAATGGCTTCAGACTTGCATGAGTAAGGGTATGCATGTTTGCTTTGCACAACCTAGCTGTCTCCTGAAGGGTTCATCTCAGAAAAATGCTCCCACTTGATGTGTAAACTCCAGAAGAAGTTGCTGGAGGTTGTGTAGATGTAAGACAGCTCTGAGTACATCTGAGTGAGTTTATAGCTTGTTTGAACAAAGCCTTGTCTAGAGTCACACACACGGCAACCACATTCATGGTGATTTCATTTTGCAGGAATCACTGACGAAGTCCAAGCAGTATCTTACTTACAGTACAGCCAGAATCCTGGGCTAAGGCCAAGGTAGGCAATGCACTGGAGGTTGAAGTAATGAGAGTCTGCAAATGCTGCTCTAGTCCTAAAGTAAATCAATTTAGAGTAAAGCAGCATTCTCGGAGGCGCACAACTTCAACTGCCAGCCCACTGCCCACTCACATGCTTCAGACCCTTGTTCAAAGGATCTGTATCAACTCACAAAACTGAGGTCCCAGCAGCAGTCCCGAAACAGTTCTGACACATGACGAATTATGAACTTACTTCTTCTTAACACAGCACACAGTCAGTCCAATAGCCGTGAGAACTCCAGCCCCAGCCACCACAGCAAGTATCAATCCTAGGTCTGCAAACAGACAAGATACAAGGACACTGAGCAAGAGAGAGAAAAAACATCTGGCTTTCTCCTAAAAGCCAGCTGGGTTCAAACCTCCTCAAGAGTTTCTAAGTGCACCGGCTGCCTGCAGAGCAGGGGTTTCCCAGCCATGCTTACCGCAGGGTAACACAAGCCATTTCCAAAGGCTGAGGGCCAAGCAACAACAAAACTCCTGCTAGCAGCAGAGCACAGCCAAAAAACCCAACCAATCCACACCACCTCCAAGAGTTCCAATACAGCTCATCTGCTGATGAACTTACCTGCAGCATCTCACATGCCTCTGGCTGAACAGGGAGGGAAGAGAAGAAAGTGCAGAGATAGATACAGAAGGATTCAACAAAGGAAATGGTTAAAGTCTACCAACTTCCCCTCAACTCAACCCTTTCCTCTGAAATACACAAGTTGTGCTGACTTAGGGTTTTCCAGGAGTCAAAGTTGAGCAGCAAAGTCCATGTATGAGCTAAGAAAAATGCTGCACATTTTAAAAGTATATAAAAAAAAAAGAGGAAAAAAATAGAAATTAATTTGATATCATTTCACCTTTAGCCTGTGTAGCAAATACTTCTACAGACAGCAGTCTCCCACAGATTAAGTGGTAATGCAAATGTGAAGCAAATTTACATGAGCAAAGCCTACCCTAAAAATACTTTTTAAAAATTATTTATGTTTCAGGGAGATGAAAGACACCAAGAATGCAGATTTTGCTGTTAGTCATCAGGGCACTCTCCACTAAATGGTCAGACCTGCCCCAAGGATGATTTCTTGCTTATGTGGACACTAATTGAACTGCTAATATGAGGTAAAGACTACTTGGATGAATATGTTTGCATAATCAAATCCCAAGTAATTCACCAGGTCTGTGACCTTGAGTGGGAAAAAAACATCACTCAATCATCTTATACCTTCTGGCTATGATCTCCAATTAAAAAAGCTAATTTAAATAAATAAATAAAAATTTTCAGTCTTACTGAACCTCAAGCCCTCCATTCCCATGTCTCGTAAAATAAAAACAAAAACCCCCAAACCACCAAAAAACCTCCCACCACATAAAAAACCTTCCTCAGCCTCTAGAAGTAGCCAGCTGTAACTCTCAGAAGCAAAGATATTTCTGAAGGCAGGGATCTCATAAAACCCACACCCAGGGAGAACCAGCATCCATCACTGTTGCCCCAAGGGAAAGCAAGGAATCAAGCAGAAAGCAAACCACCAAACCTTACAGGACTCACCTATCTGCTTGTCAGCGAAAGTTACCCAGAACTGCAAGGTCAGCTGCGTCTTATCCACAGGTTTACAGTTGGAAACATTTACCCAGAAGTTATGGTACATATTTCGGGGTTTGGGCAGAAGCTCATCCTCACGGCGCACAGTTTCCTCTGCCCCCAAAGCCTCTTCCTTTATGTTGACATAGGCACGGCCTGTCTCACAAGCAATGCCCATGCGGTCCTTGGAGAATTCGAGGCGGCCAACTTGCTTGCTGGGCACAATGACATACCAGGATATGGAGACGTAAGGAGGCAGACCATATGGCCAATTGGGAGTCTGCAAGTAAACTTTGGCTTTTGGATCTGGACTCAGAGTGAAAGTGCACTCATCTGTAGTGAAGGAAAAGAATAAAGGAAGGAAAACTTAGTTTTGATACTTTCCTTTTTTTAAAGCTTTCTCTTTCAGCATATAAAATTATTTGGTCTCTCTTCTCCATAATAAAAAAGCATCACTTATACCTGTGACCAGCAAATTTATAGTCAGCTGCATCTCAGTACCAGTAATACAACTCACCTATCATCCACATCAGTAATTAGCACAATTAGAACAGATATATCTGCAGAATTTCCCATAACCAACTGTCTACCACCTGGAGCACGAAATTCCTTCCTTCTTCAGGAAACAAACCACCTCACTGATTCAGATAAAGATCAGCCCAAGCAATGGCTCCAGGACTAGACTGTACTCTAACAAGCATTAAAGAGACCAAATATCATACAACAAAGTAGTACAAACCACTGCCTTACCTTTAATATGTGGCACAAAAGACATTTTCAGATCCTGCTGGTTAGACTCATTGAGGAATCCTTTACCAAATGTTTTTAAGGATATGGTGATATTGTTCCTCATCTGAATCTTTTCAATGGATCCACCAGGACAGAATACACCAACATTCAACTCCGTCTCTGGGGTGGCACTAACAATGCCATAACTATAGCTTGTGTTGCACCTCTGCTCTGGGACGTGTTGCTGAAGTTTCAAGGACGGAGATGTAATTTCTATGTTTATCAGATCAGGAGCCAAGAGCTTCCAAATAAACTTATGCAGTTGAATCGGCAATTGGGTAATAGCCTTGGGCACTGAAAGGGAATAGATCTTCCTCTGACACCACCGAAGATCGACACAACCTGCAACCACAAAACAAGTCCTAAGGGTTCTATCTTTCTTGCAGAGGAAATATCTTGGAAAAGCAAGTTTCGCTGTGTACCAGAGCACATGCACGCACAGAGTACTGTCAGTTCTGTGTTACAGACCCAGATAAGCACCTACCCGAGAAAATAACCTCTCTTAGTAACCTTTACCCAAACATGTATCATTTGTATTTAAAGAGCTTTCCTTAAAAGGGTGTAGGACACCAAAGAAACCAACAGATAAATATATTCAAAATCTCTCACTCAAGACACTACTTTAGCTATACCACTTTCTGACTGGGACACCGTTGCAGACTAGCCAAGGTCCAGATATATAATTTAAAACTCTTTCTCTACTGGTAATTGAAAGCATTTGACAAAATCCTACACCAAGTGGACATGCAAGTGGCAACCTTGGTCCCACATTTTCATGAGCAGATTTATGGCTCTCCCACTCTGTTTCCATATTCTGCAGTTTTCAGTGAGACGATTCTTAGGTGCCTTCTGTCCTTTCCCTTCTAGGAATAGTTATGCAGTTTCTATTTTTAAAGCTAGAATGACGTAGTGAACAACAAGGTCATCTCCAGATTCATTGTACCCATCTCCCAGCTGCCAAACACCTGTTTTTGAACAACACTATTTAAAGCCCAAGCGAGAGAGAAGGCTTGGCTGACAGCTGGGGAAAGCATTCCCTAGGAAACAACATTAAACCACTTTTCTCATACTTATGCCTTTTTCAGCTGTGATCCTCAGACGGGACAAGTCCTTGCACAGAAAGGAGATCTTGTAGACAGCACCAGACACTAAAGTCAAGACACGGTCGCAGGTGCGAGGATCCTTACAGATCAGACATATTGGTTGAGACATGAGCGGGATGTGGCTGGGCCATCCTTCAAAGTGTATCGTCACAGTCATATTCCACTCCTTGCTCAGGTCGACCAAATGGGTGACATCTGCAATGAAAAGTATCGTGGAGCAATTACTGGCAAGAAGCATGGTGTGAAGCAGAACTTCCTCAGTCTCTTCTCACCCCACTAGATGAGCAGCTGTTATAGCTATTTCTATATTAGCTAAGAAAACATTATTTACTTCTTTCCATCAGTGTAATACAAACTCAGGTAGTATCATATCACTTCTAATTTAGAGGTTTGAGCCTTTCCACACGCAAGCCCCATTTTCCTACCACTTCCCATCTATAACAGGGTAGCACGCATGCTAGCCCTTGTTGAACAGGTTAGGCTCTAATGTTAAGAGGTCGGACAAGTATGTTAGATTTGTTTCCCCCAAGAGGTTTCTTGTATTTCTTTTAAAGTCAGTTCTACTGATCACACACCAGTTGATCAGAAAAAGGTTCTCCATTCTCAAGTTTCTTATGTATTGGTACATTTCATCTCAGCTAACTTTTTATTGGTGTAGGCTTTTTGGAGCCGAACTGAAGAAAATTGTCCAAAGTCAGTAATTAAGTATATCTGGTGGTATGGAGTCAGTTAAAGATTAAGATAATTTAAATGCAAGTAACAATATGGTTCAAAATGGAAAAAACTCCAAAGTACCATCCTTCAGCAGAAGTGCTGGCAGCCGTTATGAAGGTCACTAGAGCCTTCAAAGATGCTTCTAAAAGCCTTTTCTGTTTGGCAGTTAAAAACAGATGCCATGAATTATGAAGTCTGTCACCATGCTGGTGGGAAGGCCACACCTTGCTAGGCTGCTTAGTTTCCTTCAACAGCGTGACTGAACTACTACACTGCTCTTCCATTTAATTGCTCAAAAGCATTCTTCCAGAAATACTTTCTGACCAGCTGTAAAAAACAAACCTTAGATGTGGCAGAGTTAACCTTGAAAAGAGCACCTTCCCCTTCCTCAACACTAGCCACCACTTCTCTTGCAGTCCACCTCTTTCCCCGTACCCCACCACACACAAGCTGCTGCAGGACACCTCATAATGCCCTCCAAGCTCACTGTCCCTGAGGTGCCCAGGTGCACACAGAGACCATCATCCCTGGCACCCTCTCTTTAGTAATGAGATTCAGTTCAAAGACCTGCTTAAGGAGGCATGTACTGAGGCCAAAACGGCTTAACATTTTCACTCGTGGACAAGAGTGCATCCTCAGCAAGTTTGCAAGAGCAGTGCTGGAAAGCAGCTTTGCAGAAGGACCTGGAGATCCTGGTGGACAGCAAGTGGAGTATGAGCCAGCAATGTGTCCCTGTGGCAAAGGTAGCCAATAGCTTCCCAGGCTGTGCTAGAAAGCACCACCAGCAGGTTGAGCAACCCAAGTCTCCTGCTCTGCTAAAGCACTGGTGAGACATCTGGAAGTGCTGGGTCTAGTTCTGGGCTCCCCAGTACAAGAGACATGAATGTACTGGAGTAAGGCCAGTAAAGTGCCACCAAGATGCTTAAGGGATTGAAGCATGTCTAATAGAAGAGAGCAAGAGAGCTGGAACCGTTTAGCCTGAAGAAGGTGGCTCTGTGCGATGTGTGTAGATGATATGGTGCCAGACTCTTCTCAATGGTGCCCAGCGACAGGGCAAGAGGCACAAACTGAAATACAGGAAATTCTGCTTAAACATAAAAAAAAAAAAAGAAAAATACAACGATGCAAGTTGGTCAAACACTGGAACAGGCTACCCAGAAAAGTTGTGAAGTCTTTGGAGATACTCAAAATCCAACTGGACACAGTCCTAGGCAACCTGTTCTAGCTGACCCTGCTTGAGCAGGGGACTGGACTAAATGATCCCCAGAGGTTCCTGACAACCTCAGCCATTTCTGTGAGTTTGATATCCTAGAAGACTGATAGAAAGCGCCTCTACTCCAGTCTAACTGAAAAATCACAACCTCTTATGAGACCTACTTCCATGACTCTCTGTGGGCGCTGCATAAGAGCAACTCTTGCACAATATTTAAGAAAGAGACATATTAAAGGGGAAAGGGTTATGAT